TTAAGACTTGACACAAACATTGTAGAATACAAGTTATCATTAAAACCTACGTATCACCAAAACAAGAAAAACTAAGAAGGATGGAGCTTAAAGTATCCTTAAAGATAAGAAAAGAAGTCAAGAAAAAAAAAATATGATGCTAACTTTTTAGCTATCGCGAAATATCCTAATTGAGTTGCTAATATAGTACCACTTACTAAGAAAGATGGAAGGTTTAAATGTGTGTCGATTATTGTAATTTAAATTGAGCTAGCTCCAATGATGATTTTCTTATCCCATATTGATATATTGATGGACAACATAGCCAAACATACTTTCTTCTCATACATGGATGACTTTTCAGGATATAATCAAATAAAAATAGTTGAAAAAGACATGGAGAAAACCACAATCATTACACCTTGGGGAACTTTTTGCTACAAGATCATGTCATTTGGCCTAAAAATTGCTGGGATAACATATCAGAGAGTCATGGTAACTTTGTTCTATGATATAATGCAGTGAGAGATTGAGGTTTATGTAGATGACATAATAGCAAAGTCAAAATCTAAATAGGAACATATCATCCACTTGTAGAAATTGTTCAAATGAATGAGAAAAGTTAAGACTTAACCTAAGTGCATTTTTTTTTTATGAAAAGTAAAAGAAAATCACTTGGTTTTATTGTTAGCCAAAAAATAATTAAAGTGGATCCAAATAAGCTTGTGCAATCCTAGAAATGTCAGCTCCTTGCACAACGAAAGAGGTCAAAGGGTTTTCTAAGGCATTTAAACTATATTGCTCATTTCATTTCTCATTGAACCGTTACATACAAGTTGATATTCAAATTATTATGCAAAACTCAACCAATAGTCTGAAATGATAATTGTCAAGTGACATTCAAAAAGATCAAGCAATATCTACAAAATCCACCAATTTTGATACCTCTTATCCTAAGTAGGTCCTTGACCATGTACCTTACTATCTTGGACCAGTCCATGGGCTATGTATTAGGACAACATGATGATTTAGGGAGAAAAGAACACTTAATCTATTACTTGATTAAAAAATTCACTGATTATGAAGTCAATTATTCAATGCTTGAACTAACTTGTTGTGCCTTAGCCTTAGGAATGGAAATAGGCTAGATTGTCCAAGAGGAGCCTACGACCTAACCTTCTTAAAGTCTAGTCCGACTTGACTTATTTAAGTAATAGGTTTAATTTAGACTTTTTTATATGCTTAATTAATTATGTAGGTCAGATTTGAACTTTAAAAAAAAGTCTATTAAGCCTATTAGAATGACCTGTTTAAAACTCATAAAATTTATAGTAATATATTAAATAATTTTATATAAAAACATAATATAATATTATATTAAATAAAATAATTTTAAATGAGAAACTTTAATCCTTTTCGTTAGAGTTAAAGAATGTGCCTATTACATGCCTTATAAGAGAGAGAGTCCTACTTGGTAGAAGCTTTTGTGTTATTGTTACTTGATCTATATTATATGCATAAAGTTGATTTGTTGTCTCGATTATATCTATTGCTAGTTCGTCTCATCCATCATCTTCTTACATGCTGATTTATATTATATGTTACTCTTTCTTACTATTTTTTTTTTATTTTTAGGTTAACAAAATGTATTTTTCAATTAAAAATAATAAAATTATTTATTTATTTATTTGAAAGTTTCAATACGAAGAATAACATTAAAAAGGCTACTAGGCTAAAGTAGGCTTTTACAAAGGCTAGATTTAAGCTTAATAAAAAACCTATGACATATAATAAGCCAAACTTAGGTTTTAAAATTTTTAAGTAGGGTCAAGCTTATTTAATCAAAGTTTAGCCTAACCCAACCTATTTTCATTCCTACTTAGTTAGCCTAGGTTGCCTACCGACTAAAATATGCTAAGCCATATCACTTGGTTGGTATCTATGATAGATTCTCGTAAAACCTGCTCTCATTGAGTGAATTGCTCGCTAAAAAATATTGTTCTCAGCATACAACATTATACATGTTACTTAGAAGGCAATCAAAGGAAGTATATAAGCAAAATTCTAACCCACCAACCTATGAATAAATATCAATCTATGCAACATGACTTCCTTGACAAAGATATTCTAACTCTGTCCCAGAAAGAAGATTTGTTAAAGAAAGAAAAGTGAATATTACTATTTGATGATGCATCCAATATGATGGCCCATGGGATTGGAGCCATCTTGTTCTCACACTAAGAGATAATAAATCTCTGTCAAAGTCATGTTATGCTTTGATTGCACAAATAATGTGACACAATATGAAGCTTGTACCTAGGGATGACGAGTAAAGTACTCGATGATACTTGCAAAATTTATCTGCTAAACGAGTGGTATGGAAAAAACCACAAATTTTAATGAGAATGAGTACAAGTACAAGTATTTAATTACTCATCCCTCTCCATACCCGCATATTATATATATATATATTATTAATTATGTTACTTATGTAAAGTATATAAGCATATTTTTATTTATAAGTGATTGTATATGACATTGATTTTTTTTTTTTTATAGATTGTATAAAGTATCATGATTAATTAATTTTTTTATTACTTACACACCTTTGTTATGTATTTTTTTCATCGTTTAGCAGGAACAAATGTTAATCATTAAGTCATATTCAACAAAGTTAGATTTTTTTTCTTTTATCGTGTTTTTTTGCAAAATGAGTGTTTAAATGTGGACAATTTCTTATTTCATACATTGCTAAAATACTATAGTAATATTGTAGATTTTCATTTTTTTTAATATTTTGAGTATATTCTTTTAATAACAGATCTTATTAGTGAATATCAAAGGAAGACAATAAGTGGACACTGGTATTTAATTTTAAAATATAATGTTAATATGTGTTGCAAAAAAAGAGAATCTCATTGTAAAGTGCATCGTAATAACAAAAAATATTATTCTACCTTCTTCTTTTAAATATTAATTTTATTTTAATTTTAGACATGTTATTTTGCAATAAATAATTAATTATTTCTCTTATTTACATTGCATAGAATCAATGAATAGAGCAACTAGAAATTCAAGAAAATAAGAACTCAATCCACTTTTAATTTTTTAGAAAATTTTTGTGCATATTTTTGTAAAATTTTGGTCAAAATAAAGATTTCATTGTTTATTTTATGTAATTTCATGTCTTATATTTTCTACTCTATTCTTTTATAGGCAATAATTATTTTATTTTTTAAAATAGAATTTTTTTTATCTTGAGTAATATTGTCTTTCAATTTATAATTTTATTTTTAATTTTTTGGTACAAAATATGACGTTAAAAAATTTAATATAAATATTTACATTACTCAAAATGCATGAATAAAAAATTTAAAAATATCTAATAAAAATAATATTTACATCACATATAAATAGTTGTTACATAAAAATATATTCAATAATAAAATAAATCATAAAAATTATTAATTTTTCGTATTTTTAATAAAAAAAATTATTTACTTTTTTATATTTTTTATGTTGTTTAACTATGCTAATATTGTATTATTATACGATTGATATGAGATTAATTTTTTTAAAAATTTATTTATATATAACACTATACAAAATATTTTTTACACAAATATTTTTTTGAGTTTCTTACTAAAATAAATTAAATTAACTGATATATTACATATATATGTCTTGAATTGAATAAGTTTATGAATATTCTAATTTGGGTTACAATTCGATTTTAATCTACTTTCATTTAATTTTTGTTCAATCTATTGTTTATTCACTGCTCGCTGCCACTATATCTATCATATGATTGTGTAAATGAAAAATCTATTTTAATCAACTTTTATTTCATCCACTTTTTTATGTTGTCTATTATTACTATGTTTATTATAAAAATCGATTTAAATTGACTTTAATATTATTTGCTATTATATTTATTATAGAAGTGGATTATAGTAATTTTACTTAGCACATCTACATGTATAAGTAGAGTTAAATAAATAGAAATAGTTGAAGTATAGGGATGATGAGATGTAATAAAATTATTTAAAACATTATCTTACGATATAAAAAATATTAATTTAATTTCATATTTATAAATAGTATATCTCAAAAAATAAAATTTGATAAAATTATAAATAATTTAAAATATAATTTATTTTAAAATAATAGAAATAATATATTAAGTGTTATAAATTTTATATACAAATAAAAATATTTGAAAAAATTAAAAAATTTATATAACATCCTGAATAACAAATTTATCTTTATCCATATTAAAATAATAATATAATAACATAAAAATATTACTTATGTAGCTAATAAATTAATAAAATAATATTGACTCTCATTACATATAATATGTTAATCAAAACCTGTAAACACTTAAAAACGACAAAGATAGCTTAGGTTACAAAATATCCATAAATATTTGAATATTTATTTTTTATCTATATTTAAACTTTATTTAACATCTATATATTAAATTTTTATATTATTATATTATTTATGTGAAATTATATAAGTATATTTTTCTCTTAATATATATCCAAATACTTAAAAAGCAGAAGTATAAGAATTAAAGTTAGTAACTATACAAGTATGAAATTAAGTCAATATTCTTTTAAAATACAAATATGAAAATAGGTACTATAATTATTGACATTCTTAGTTTGATAGTAAATGCATTAACATACAAGGATATATATCTTTGATCTTAAAGATGCCAACCATATCAAGAAAATGTTAGGGAAGATTTTTTAGAAAAAAAATTTTATGTGACCTACGGATTTTTTTATTTTTTACATCATTTCAAAATGTTATATAAACAACATTTAAACTTATTAAATATATCAGTACTTTATCCAACCACAACTCTTTTATCGCGCTACAAAATAACTGATTGTTCAATTCCATGGAAATACCGAGATAAGATCATTGGGTTTTAATGACATGTAAGAGGCGCCAACGCTGAATGCGTCTTAGGCAGAAATGCAAAGAGGAGATGGCGTATCTTGAGTTAAATTCTATTCATTCTGTAGGAACGCATCTAAAGGGTGAAACCACGAAATTCACGTACCAGCAAAAAATCCGCTCTAGCCAATGACAATAGTATCCAAACCTTGTGAATATCTTTCGAAATTACAAGCATACCACACGTTTTTAGTTGTCGCGAAAACAATATATAATCCAAAAACATGGCTCTGCCATGTCTAGAACATCAATATATCAACAGATCCTGAGCTGAACAAGAATCCTGGAAATCTTCTACAGATGTTAATGTCTCTCCCCACTAGAAGAATACTCCGTGTAATAATCATTTTGTCCTCTTAATAATGTGGACTCCACTGTCAGTATCCACAATATCACTAATCTCACCAACATTAAGAGCAAAAGTTGCTTCTTCAAAAGGCTTCTGCATCTGGCCACGACCAAAAGGACCTGGATCGAAGAAAGTTATTTCACTTCAATAGATTAATGAAGTTACGAAAAGAAATTTAGGCAATTTCACTTGAGATATGAATCCGGTGACTAAGTGAAGATACAATCCTCTCTGACTATGTAAAAATGAATTTAATGTCCAAGAAGTCAGGAATTTCGTAGAACAGCATTCATTTGTCTTCACAACCGGACAAAACATACTAGACAGTAACACAGATTGAAAGATCAGTTGTCTTGATAGACACTTGAACGCTAGACCTTCAAATTGGATTCTAGCAATATTTGATTTGTTTACAGCTAGCAAACACTAATTGTCATGAGACCAAAGCAATGTCAAGAAGCCCAACAAATATATACCATCACTACATCAAATCAAAAGCCATTTTCACTCTAACTTGGAACAGATAAAGTACTCATACTACCAACCTTTCAGTTCTTCCCATTTAATATTAAACACAATGACATGAAATGTATACTATTTAGATACTCTTTATGGACGGGAAGGTTTGAAGTGTAAAATAGTTATTTTACAAGTTTTTATATTTTTAAAATTAAAAAAGAACAAAAGCTTGAGAGATGCATTAGAAACTTCCAAGATTAATGCAGTTTCACCCCCTATTGTAGTGAAGATCAGACCAAATTACTTAGACAAACTGGTGGAAGTCACATTAACTTCATACTTGATTCAGAATAGCTATCTAGCATACGTGATATGAATTCAATAAACCGAGACATGAAGAAAATTTCATACAAAACGTGACCTAAGGAGAAACCAATGTTACAACAGCAACAGAAAGATGTCATTCAAAGTTAAGTTCAATGTTCTGTTAAACACTGCAAATCCGTTGATAAGGCACGCAAAAAATCAGATAGAAACTGCCTCCAAATAAAATCCCTAAATTAGGTTACCATAACATGATTTAGGTTCCAAAACACTCAGGTAATTTTTATAGCAACAAAGGATCCGGAGCATGATCATGATTTAGGTTACCAATCTCACTCAACTAAGGACCAACTAAGGGTGGTGTTTGAGAGTTCCGACTTCGGAAGAGAGCATAAAATTTCTATTTATGATTAATATTCTCTAATTCTATAATTTTTTAAAATAAAAGCCATAAAATAATATTATTAAATATAAACTTAATATACTAATCTTTTATTAACTTTTATAAATGTTATACAACTCTTTAAATTTAAAAATAAAATATTTATCCTTTACTCCCTTCCCTTCTAAAACCTATCTCCCTCACATATCCTAAGAGAAAGATTATGATAGCAGGAAATATTAACACTTGATTCAGATCAACAACTCCGACCGACATCGAACCCTAACAGCCATTAATTTTGAATAATCACATAACTTTCAAATTTCAACCATCAGATTTTTCATCAGAAGACAAGGCGCTCATAGAATCCGTACACAACTAAATAAAAAATCACTTCAATTTTTATTTGTTTAAATTTTGGACAGAGGTTTGGCGAAAACTGACCAAGATCACCGCCGCGTTTGGCAGAGCTGCAATCAGAGAAGCGAGAGGCGATGTCCTCGAACGTGGCCTTGCCAGAAACGATGTCGTCTCGGAATGCCTTCAGCTGAGAAACGGCGTTTTCTCTCGTTGTGTTCTTGATGACGCGTCCTTCTGGATCCTTCCATGAAGCCTTCCTCCTAGAACCTTCGTGCTTTATCAATATGTGCGATGCCCTAACCTCTACTCCACCACTACCACCTTGTCTGTTCGACGATGACATCCTTGCCTTCTTCTTCCGATTATCCTTCTCCGTTCGATCCGCGGCTGAGATCGACGCTTTCTTCCTCTTCCGATCTGACTCTATCTTCGCCGTTCCGGTCACCCTAGTTACACACAGAGAGAAAGAACCACTACGAACTTTCCATGCTTCGGTATTTATAAAGTGGTCCAAACTGAAGGGTAAGCAATCTTTGTGGACATCTGAGACGTTCGTTCAAGATTGATCGCGCGGTTCAGATACATTTAGTTCCTTTATTGTTCGAAAACTAAATGGTTTATTTTTATGCCACGTGTCACACAGATAATTGGTCTATTTGCAATTAAATAATATGTACTTGTATGTATAACGATGATGCTATTCTGCCCTATATCTCGTGGTTTTTCAATTAATGTTTCGATTTCCTTTTATTTACTTTAAGAAAAATTGAAAATGCATGTACTCCAAAGACTGAACCAAGATTTAATTCGTTTATTTACCATAATGGAAATGTTCTTTTAACATTTTTCCCTGGACACACAGCTACAGGGACATTAATGATGTTCCTCTTGTTTTCTTTTAGGGTGTGATGTGATTTACACAAAGGAAATATTTTTTAAAAAAAAAAATACAATAGTATATAAATATAGGGTATAGACATTTAAAATAGTAGTACAAACAACAGAACTCTTACAATAATGTGCTATCTCTCTGGAAAAAATTGATGCTACTGGATTTTGATAGGGATAATTTGATATTATTATCACATTTAATAGAGAAATATGAAAACAAAATTTACGATTTAAAAGCATTAGAAATATACTTTTTTATTATTAGATAAAATTTATTGAAAATTATAATAATATAAAAATTAGATTAAAAATAAAGTGATATTTACATATTTTTAGAGTTTTTAATCAATTTTAATTAATAGTTAAAAGTATATTATTTTTTACTTACAAACTAGTGATGTAATAATAATAATAATAAAATTATTTAAAGCATGTTATAAAAATAATATATCACTTAAATATAGCATGCGAAAAAAACTGAGATTATATGAAAAGTTTGATAAAGAGAAATAAATAAATAACATTACTGTAAATTTGTTTGTAAATATTTATTATAAGAATAACACAACTCAAATCAGAATAAATTTTAAATTTAACGATTAAATAGTAAAAGAAGATAACAATGATCTTTCATATTAGGTGTTAGTGTAAAGATAATTAGTTTTTTTTTCGTGATCCATGTAAATTGATAAAATTATATTTATTTATAATAATAAATGATAAATTATATAAAAACTAAATATTATTAACAAATTTATTAAAAACATATCAACATTAATAAATTATATGATATTTGATTAATAGATAAAATTAATATTTTCATTCTCTAACTTAATAGTTAAATTTAATTTAATTTTTGATTTTATTTAAATTCATTTTATTGTCTTCTTCCATTCGTGTGTTATTTCTACATTGTTTATTGTCTTCTTTCTCAAGTCTTTATGTAATATTTATCATGTTATTTTTCGTGGCTGTAATTCTATTTTTCTTCCACTTCATCTTCTTTACTTTTTTGTTAGGCCAATATCGTCCAACTAAAAGAATCGGTCTGAGTAAGCGAACCTCATAATAGGTCTAATTTCATTCATAATAGGTCTAGTTCCATTCATGTTGTTTGAAGTTTACAAATTTTTTTTAAAATAAACTTTGGATAAATTTAGGCCTTGTTGTGTAGGATTGCTGTTATTCAAATTATTTTGCCGAATTATCTTTCTCAAAGCATTAAATGTGACATAATTTACATGGTCTACAAGCAACAAGCTACAATATTGGCATTGCATAAACAATAATTTTGTATCGAAGTCAATAAAAGTATACTTTGGAAGCTTGGTTTCTAGGACTTGGTAGAGAGCTACAGAGATATAGGATATAGTTTCTCCTTAATCTAGCAAGGAATGGCAGAGTGGATGTCAAAAAGTGGAGAGAAAGCTAAAATAAGAGCTCTCAATAAGAAAACGATAAATAATCCAAGAATAGTAAGCTTGGCAGAAAAAAAAAATGTTAATGAGGTTAACATTTATAACAAAAAAAAATTATTTAAAATATTTTTAAGAATTAGTGGATCAAAATAAAGTTGGAGAATGAAATTAAATTTGATCCTTGAATTGAAGGATGAAAAATTTAATTTTTTCGTTAGAATACATAGAAGGTAAAAATATATGTTTAAAGTGTCTAATAGTTTACCATTCTCTTACATAAAAAGCTTAAATAAAAAAATGTATATATATAAAAAAAGAGAAACATAATTTTGAATACACATATTTCTAATATATATTTATATATATATATATATATATATATTTCATATTATATATTTATTATTACATTAGTAATATATAATTTATAATATTAATTTTTTTATCAAGAATTTTTTTTGTTTTAAAATTTCAATAGATATTAATATTAAATTTTGCTACTTTTTTTTAAAAAAATTTTCTCTCTATTCAATTACAATATATATTATTCTATTATGATATATAAATAACTATCGAACATCCTAGTTGATTAATTTAATTTAACATGTAGTTTTGGGTTCAAGTTCTAATAAATGCAACTATATTAAATACTTATAATGAGATTTTTATTGTTCATAATAGTCATACTTGACTTGAACACGATTGCCTATAATGGTCAATACTTGTAGTCTAAATTAAAAAATATATAATTACTACAATATTACTATAAAACTATAATATTAAAAAAAATTATGAAATATTTACTTATAATCTTATCATTTAGGTTTGATATATCATAATAAAAAATTTCATTAAATTAATAATAAAAATAATATATTATTTTTTATATTTATTCTATCATAAACTATAAAAAGTATAATTTATAATACGTAATATATTTACAAATTAGACTTAAAATTTTTATTAAATATACATGTATCAAGTAAGGAAAATATTTTTGTTATGGTAATTGTTTTATAAAATAATATAAATATAAATATTATTTTGCTATTAAACATAAATATTTTTTATTATGATAATACAATAACCAAATAATGAAATATCTTGAACTATAGAATTATAAGATAATAGTTGATCAGTTATAGATATGTTTATAAAATATAACTATAATTTTTTAATAATTTGTAATAAAATAATTATAAAAACCTAGTCCATTTCTTTTCATCCAACTCGACATTAAGTACTCATATGGTCGTAGAGTTAACAAAAATGCATAAGCGACACATTAATTGCCATATTTGATACATGTGTGGGTCAAGATGACATTCTTAGCAAGGCCCGAATATTTTGACGAGTCAGGCGAACAAATCCGCTAACCATACGAGTTCATAGGTAAATAGAACTTTACTTTCTTACTTTAGACATTGCTTTCTAGTTCAGAAGAGTTCAATCTCTATAATATGTATAATATATATTAGAAGTTATATACTACTTAAAAATATGAGAAGAATTTACGAAGATAAAATCTTTAAAAATATTATTGTTCTAAGTGGGAGGTATAAGAAATAATCGAAGTTTAAAAATTAGTTAGAAGATTTCTAACAAATGCCCGAGCGCAATCAGTTCGTCTTCCACTTGACAAATAGCAAGCTGGAATTATTTGTTTCTCTGTTGCCGTCATCGATCAAAAGGGAAAAAGTAAGGGAACAAAAGTGCCAAAAAAAGGGCTTCTTTCCCGGGGATGAAGGAAACTCGAGTAGTATTACAAATACAATAGTTACAGTACTACAGTTTAATCGGCTTGCACCATATATTCTTTTCTCCTTTTAATATTTCGAGCCCTACAGCCGGTACAAGCTACTGAACCAAACCTATAGGTACTGAAAGTGAAGCAAGTTAGATAAAGAATGAGAAATGGACAATCTGAGCAACCTCCCCTAGGCCAACTACAACTCCCGCAAAATGGGCCAACCCTTTTTTATAATCTCGTTGATTTTGGCATCAATATGCTTTTGGATATTTGGAGGGCAAAGCTCTGCTACATATCCATTCAATTTTGTTGCCAGGCTTGACCTCTCCAGCTCCTCTTCAGGCAGGTTGCCAATCAACTGAAGAAGGAATGTATTTTGCTTGAGTTCAAATTTCTGCATATTTAGAACAGAACAGGTAATTTCAGTTGGTGATTCAATTGAATGTGGTAGAACTTTGACAGGAAGTTTCTTGTTTATTTTACCTGCTACAGAAAATTGAACTTAGTATATTGTCTAATAAAAGACAACAAAATTAGATTCAATTTTGAAAGCTAAATATTTTTTGTCCAGAATGACAACCTAATAACTAATGCTTGCATGGGATTCACAAATATGCAGAAAGTATCAATGGATGGCATCTCAAAGTAGAATTTAATCCACATGCCTCACGTTTTCTTTTAACAAAAATGTGCATTTCAGACCTCAAAAGCCCCAACAGCCCAACTGTTGAAATGCACAATACAACCAAGCAGGTCCAATTCTCTTAGGTTTTGTTTGGTAGTTAGTTTTTAAGGGAATAGAGAAGGAAGGAGAAAACTTATTTGATGGTAAATCTTGTTTGGGAGTTTTTAGATGAGAGAAAGATGTTATTATAAACATTCCATAATTTTCCTAAACTCATGTTTTTAACTTCCTCCAAATTAGAAGATTTATTGTTAACCCTCCTTCCCCCTCCCTTCTCCTCTCCTTCCTTATTCCTCAAACTCTTTTCTTTTCTCTCCTCCAAACCTCCAAATTAAGCTTAAGAGATTGTTTGAAAATGATGTATTAACATAATCTTAATATATTAATCATGCTTTTATCATCATAAATAATATATAATTCTCTTAATTTAAACTAAAAAAAATATGTTATCCCCACCCTTCCCTTCCAAAATCCTTCTCCTTAACAATTCTTGAGGCTTTGTTTGGGAGTTTGAAGAAAGAGGAAAAAGAAGTATTTGAGAGGTAAAGGAGGAGGAGGAGGAAGGGGAGGGAAAAGAGGGTTAACAAAAAATCCCTTAATTTGAAAGAACTTAAAAACATGAGTTTATGAAGGTTTTTGAAAGGTTTATAAAAACTCCACTCACATGTAAAATCTCCCAAACAAGGGTTTTTATCAAATAAATCTTTCCCTTTCCTCTCTTTTCCTCCTCTTTAACTCCAAAACAAAGCCTAAAATGTGACAAATCACCAGTGAGTTATTTTAAGAAGTCCAACAAAAACTAAGAATATGGAACAGTAACTAATAGCATTTTTATGATGCATGTGTATGCCAAAATTGGTGGGGTATTCATATTGATAGAAACCCAATATGTTATTACAAAGAATAGGGAAAATTTCTCCTGATTACAGCACTGCAGAACTTTGAAGATCTGCACCAATCACAATGACACTATATCTCTCAACCTCCCCTCTTATTTGTACGCAGCATACCATATTCAAGCTTTCTCACCTAAATAACTCACTAATGTAACAAATAATGAGTAACTACTAATAGGTACCTATCATTATATCCTATCCTATCTAATACTGATACTCATCAAAACAGCTGCATCCATATATTTGGCATAAACTTGTTTTGTTTTTTGGCATGGATACACGCTGCCCTTAAAGTACTGTACTAAATAAAAAATTCTGACAGATTGAAGTCCATTCTCACCAATTACCTCAAAGCAATCTCACTTTTGCAATCTTTCCCTCCTCAAAATCATTATGACACCAAATAACGGATTTTCATCATCCCCATATAAGTTCAAGAACACAAGGGAAAGGGATTCAGGTTGGAGTGTATACAAATAGATAAATTTAATTTTATCTTTTCACAAATTTATTAATATTTATCTCTAAGGCTGTGTATCCAAACATATTGGATACTTGTATTCAAAATTCATATCCATGCAACATAGCAGAAAATATTTTCTTAGAAATATCAATTATATATAATCATATTTTGAAATACAAAACCTGGTGTTCTGGTTCTGCAGGGTAAAATGTTCCAAGTTGTAGAATTTGAGTCGTCACAATGCTGCTTCTTGACCTGGTTTGTTCCTGTTCTTTCCCAACAGCAGCCATTCTTGATTCTTCAGTTCCATTAACAAAAATAATAGATCTGCCAGAATATATGTATAGTTAAGTGCTACTAACTACTTAGCACTCAGAATGAGGCTGGATATTGAGGAAGATCACATGAAATAGCAGTTGGCATTAATACTCCTCCTACCTGTACTGATTACCCACATCAGGACCTTGGCCATACACTTGCCTAGGATCATGGCTTGACCAAAAAACATCCAAGAGATCCCTAAAACTAATAAGCTGCGGATCATACTCAACCTGCATTATATTAGCAAGCTGTAATGGCAAATTAAGAAAAACCATCCAACTTCATCTCATCAAATTGATAACTGAATAAGTTATATTTGGATTTTAAGATTTAGGATGGATTGATGAATTTATTTTGTTCACAGAATAAAAGAAAATAACACCATCTGTTAAATGTTATGAAAAATTAATATATAGTAGTCTAAATGAATCCCAGAATCAAGACAACCGCATTTGGTAAAGCGTGTTGCACTGTTATCATTACTAGACTTAGAATTAAACACAACCTAATCTTTTCATGAATCTATGACTCCAAATTATTCAACAAATATCACAGTCCCTACCATCCATGACTTAAGCTGATAATTGTTCATAAGTTCTTACGAAAGCTTGACTATTCCATGTTTTATAGGAGCATAAGAATCTATGCATGTCAAACCAGGCGATGGAAGGCACTAGTTTGACTGTGGCTTGCAGAGACTTGGTTTAGCACAAATTTAGCAATGGGCATCTTTTATAGAACCTTTATTGCTCATTGTTAGGACTTGAAATTTTTTTGGAAACAGCAGACCTTGGGCTATTATTGCAATAGGATGGTCTACATATTATTCAATACTTTAATGTTTTGGAGTTTAAAATTAACTAGGCAGCCAAATACAATCCAAGAACAGAAAATATCAAATTCACTAAAGCATACCTAGACCTATAAACCAATATAATTAGAATAATTAGTTAACTACCGTTAAAATTTTAAGAACTTCGATATATTTGATCACAATATTTTAACGAATCAATGGTTGTAAGAGCTAAACCCTTAAAAAACAAAACCAAATAATTGGTCACAGAACAATCACATACATCATCAGTTAATTACAATGCAAGCACAGATGTAATAGAAATTTCAGTAAGAAATTGAGAACCTGAACGGACTCGGCGTGGTCACCCAAGCTTCGATATTCGGGATTGGACTTGGACCCACCGGCGTAGCCAACGGTGGTCCGAATAACACCCGGTATGCACCCGAATACCGCTTCGGATCTCCAGAAGCTTCCGAGAGCGAAGACAGCTACCTGCAACCGCTGTTGATCGGGTGGATCGCGACCCGGTTGGGAAACCCGATCCGGAAACCTTATGCAGTGCGCATTGCCGAGGAAGAACACGAGGAGAATGGTGAATACTTTGCCAACATAATAATGCTTCGTCTCTAGAACTGACATTTTTTTGCCACTCATGCGATTTGTCTTCGCAGAGCTTCCGAAGTTAAAATAAAAGGGAACGAGTTTCGTTGTCGTTTTTAGGAGGGGTACGTGCGAATACCCGACGGCACACTCCAACAATCTGTCGTTTTAATAGCTTTTCGGGTTTCTCTGCTTAATACGACGCAAATAGAATAGAGAAGGTTGACGTTTGAAAGAAAGGAAGACATAAATTTTTATGTTCAAGTTTTAAGAGATTATTTAATGACATACTAATACAAACATGCTGCGACACGAGTTATAGTTAAATACGTGTGAGTGATATATTTTTAGTTTTATTTATAAAGATAAGTTTAAAATTAGTTATAAAAATTTTTATGTTAAAAGTATTATTTCTCTTTTCAAACTATGATAAAATAAAAAATATCTAAATTTTAACAAATTTTACTTTATAAATAAATATAATTTGAGTTTATTATAAAGTAGGTTTATTGAAATATTTTCACATTTAAGAAATTTGAAATATATATATATATATATATATATATATATTTCTAACCTATAAAAAGATAAGTTCCTTCTCATAGGGATCACAAGTCATAATTAAAAGTAGTTTTAACCTTTACCATTTATTATTCAGAAATCTTGTGTTGTAAGAGAGGATGTCCTTTTAATTATTACATACACAAGCATATTGGACTTTCTTTCATTGAGACGGAAACGTGCATGATTCAAGAAATTTGCAAGAATGAAAAGTTTTGTTGATTATTATATTACTCTCTCGAATCACTATACATGCTCACTGTAAAAAAAATTTATGTTCTCGAGACTAATATTCTACTACGGCTGTAGAGTTTATTTAAATTAGATGTACCAAAAATTAATTGGGTGTTAAGATATTTTTATCAATCATTTGTCAAGCTATACAACCTACATCATGAACAACCTTAATAGATGAATCTAATAGAAGCTGGGAATGTATCAGCATTGCAAGATTGTTACTCACAAAATGAGAGATTTTATTTGGTATACTTTTAGAGCAAAACCATTCCATAGATATTCTATCATTCTACATTTTTTAGAAACAATTCCGTTGAAAAGAATGAAATTACAAAACTTATTTGTTATTCAAAAGCTCTATATATTATTCAGTAAAAATATTATAACAATTCAAAAGCACAAAATATAAACACACACCCAAAAAAATCACCATAAAAGTATTCAACAATCATTACTTTAATTGAAAATTTTGTTTATCATATAACACGTTTGGCACAAATTATTTTGATTAAATACTTTTTTTTTTAACTTTCTAGAAAAGTGATTATTTTCTAAATATAAAAATAAAAACTCTCTTATTTATTCACAAGTGTTCATGGTGAATATTTTGTTGAAGAGAAATTTATCATCATCAACCTTACTTTGAACTTTTTGATAATCACGACCAACTTCTTGCTAATGCTTTGACGTTTGTTTCTGCTGGGTAAATCATTTGATTTTGCATTTAACTGTGGTAACAATTCATGATTATCTTACTGCACTGGCCCTTTGTTCTATAATTGAAAAGTTTTTTTTTTTCCAATCAATTTCAAGGATTGTCTCAATCTTTTCTTTGTCAACTGTAAATCTTCTGTTGAATAGTGTTAATTAACCGAGGAATATTATTTTTCAACATCTCACATTGCTTAATTTTTATAACTTAAAAGTCTTTTTTATATAAAGTAATTAAAATTGAAATTTTACTTTAAATTGTAAAAAAGAGTAAAAATTGTAAATCAAATAATAAAATTTTACATAATTCATATATAGGTATATAAATTAGTAAAGTGAAAATTGTATCGGCTAACAGCTATTCTTTAAAGAGAGAATGAATGAAAGAAAAGAAACTTGTGGAGTTTGTATTAAATATAGCTTAATTGTGATGGTAAAAGAGAAAACCACGTTATCTATAAGGAAGATCTCTTAAATTAATGATGGGTTGCCTATTTTTGTGATTTACCTCTACAAACTTAACATATGATAAACAATAATGTTACATAGTTATGTAACTACGAAGAAAATTCAGCAATCAAGTTCACTGAACAAGTTGAATGAGGAGATAGAGTTTATTTTCGGTATTAATCTATATGACAAGTAACCTTACATATAATTAGTATATCTTGATTAACTTCTTTTTTTTTCTCATGGAAATTTAATCAGTTATGTCTAACATTATGAAATGATAAAGATATAATCTTTAAGAGTTGATATGGGAATAAATGTGCATTTTAAAGCAAGGACCAAGCACACTTTATTTAGAAGCTTTTCCAGTGATGTCTCCTGGTTAGTTTAAAGCACAATTATTTACTAAGTTTATAGAATGGTAGTGGGGATGGTGTGTTTAATTGCTTAAATTTGTATTTATTTGGGATTGGGATGATATTGTGATTTGTTCTTTCTCTTGGCCGATATGAAGATGTAAGGATAATAAGTTGAGCAGTTTAAGCCAACCTATCTTATAAAGTTAACTTCTCTTAATCAATTTTATTGAATACGGAAAGATTTAGAAAATTGATGGATATTTAGAATTCTATCTCTATGATTTTTATATAAAATATGACTTCCCAATACTTATAGTAAATGTAAGTGAACTCAGGATTTGATTTAACCATCAACATTGAATGAAATGCCTACAATGAGTCTTCCTTATTCTCTATTTCCTGCCTTGGATTTTTCATTCCTGTATGGTGCCAAAGCCTCTTTGAATTTACGTTGAATTTGATAAATTTGTTAGATTTATTTATTTTTCTAGAGGAAAGATCCAAATTAGTTTGACTAAAGAAAAAAGGTGTAGTAATCTTGGAAAGAATAATGGTTTGTTTGTCTTAGAGTTATAAAAACAATATACATTTAAATGAAAATGAAAATATGTGGTTTAAATTATTTTATGTATTTAATCACTAACTACTTCTATGGAAGATGTATTAGCAAAAGAGGTAGTTTAGCATTTCAACTATTCAAACTCTTGCTAGTGAACTTCAAAATACAAAAAATATGGAGAGGAAAGGATGAAGAATAATGAGAGCAAATTTTTCAGAGACTTATGTTCCATAATATCATCATCACTTTGCACTAGGATCAAAATGAAAGTCATAGTGATGAAGATTTGAATGATTATGATACTTAATCATTATTGAAAATGGTAAATTGTTTGAATTTGATTGTAACTATTAATGATAATTTTTATATTGAAAGTGTATTTTAAATTTTATTTTGTGCGTTTATTTTTATAATATACTTGAGATATTATATTTTATATTATAATTATATGACTTGAGTACCTTCAATTTATTTATCTTATAATTATAAATTAGGATAATTTTGCTTGATATAAAATAATTTATAAGAAAAAAAGTGTATAGGTATAAAATTAAAATAATTATTAATTATATACACATTTAGAAACATAATTAGAGACTAAAAAATAGCATTAATTTAGAGATGCAATTAAAGATAAATTTTTTCTTGAGTTCATAGAAAAAATTAGACGAAATATTCATTCAACTTAAAAGATAAATTTAGAAATAAGAATATTATTGAATTAGAAACATAATTTAGAGAAAAAAAATGTTATTAAATTTAAAGATAAAATTTATAAATTTATCTTTAATTAGAAATAAAAGTTTTAAGAAGAGATGAGAGCTTTCGTCTCTACTAGAGAGGAAACTAACTCCTCTTACTTTAAAGATGAGAAATAAGAAATAGATACAAAATGTTTACATCTCTAATTAGAGATAAAATTAAAAAATAGTCTTTAATCAATCTACGATGAGTAATTTAGCTATAAAAAAATCTTATCTTTGAATATTTTAGTAGTAATTGAATCTCACAAATTTTGGATATAGGGTATCAAGTCCTTGTACTAATAAATATCCTTGTACTAATAAATAAATATTAGGAGTAATGATGCATGAGCTAATCCACTATGAGAATGTTGCATAAATTGTTACATTAATGTCATAAACAATTATCAATGTGATAGTAGTGATATATGGTCTTTTAACTTAAAGCCATTACAATTCTTACATGATGACCTCTACACTTTAATCTTATCAAACATCATATGTAATAAGATGATCATAAAGTTGGATGTTAAATATAGAATGAATTATGTCAAGGAATGTAAGTGATTTAAATGAAATTTATTATTTCTCATTATTATATAATAAGAGTGATATTTATTGGACCTTTTGATAGAATGGGGCTATGAAATGTATGATCATTCTCAATAAATTATTTTTAAAAAAATATGCTCAAATATTAGGTAAATAGAAATAGGATTTTACATGGTGACACATTTTATACCTTTTGTTTAATTAGATATACAGACAAATAAATTGATCATATATTATGTATTGTCACATAAATATATTATGTTAGTTTAATGATATTTTTAGTATTTGAAAATAACAATATATTGCTAAACAGTACTCACTATTTATGACATTAAATAAGTCAAATATTAACAGAATTTATAGGGTTGCTCTCAAAGTACAAGTCCATTAGAGAAGTTAGAGTCTAGTTGGACTATATATAATATGAATGTATGCTTTGAAATGTAGATCTCATAAGTGGTTTTGGTGACAAGAGAATGTATTAGCCCTCATTTATTGATGAAATTAGAAGGTCATCTTCATTATTATTCGTAGGGGTTTTTCAAGTATGTGATCTTTAGAGAAGTAAGGTGTTTAGGGTTAGTTTAGTAACATATATGATATTATCTATTTTATCTTATTTTTTATTTTTATTGATTAACATAATAAGATGATTTGATTTAACCATCAACATTTTTATTTTTCTAGTATGTGATCTTTAGAGAAGTAAGGTGTTTAACCTATTCTTAGTCATTACCATCAACTATTTGTCGCAATCGGGCAGTCGTAACAATACGGCGAATACGTGTTTAAGAAAAATATTTTAAAATTTAAAAAAAAAAATTCTAAAAAATCAAAGGAGTTGTTACCAAAGTTTATTTAAGAAAACCTTGAAATTTTTTTAAAAATAATATGATTTTTGAAACAAAAAATGAGT